TATTCCTTAATTTCAAACAGGTCATAAATTTTATCGTCAACTATTTATAAAAAAAAAAGTTCCAAATTTGACATATCAATATCGATAAAAAATCGATATTAAATTAGTTTAATAATAATTTAGTAATTAGTATTTTCATGTTTGGCATTTTGTATTTTAAAATTAAATTAAATTGAAAAGTTTGCGATAAATGACATTCTATTAAATGTATAACAGACTTCATCAATTGTTATTGTTTAGAATAAATTCTAACGCGTATTCAGCAATATAACTTATTCGACTACATGTTCAATGATAATAATATTTAATCATAGCTTGTTATTGCTATCAATATTATCTATTTGAATACAATTTCATCAACGGAATCGATATAGATATCAGCAAGAGATCATCTTGTTATTAAATTGCCATAAATCGAGATAGATGATAGAAACAAAATATCCACCTATAAATAGCACTTTTATTGATTTTCTTTCATTCACACCGCGATTATATTAATAAGTGTACAACATTGATTTTCATAAATAAAATTAACCCAGCACAGGTGACAGAATGACGTCAAATGATATAATAACGTTTTAATGACGTGATTAAGACGTACGTCATTAAGACGTCTCCACATAGCATGTATATCCAAAAGATATCCAGAAGATATCCAGAAGATATTTTTGGGTGATTAGACATCTTCAGGATATCCTGTTAATGTCTCTTGGACATAGGATGCTATATGGGTCTTTAGACGTCTTGCTACCTGGGAGATACATGAAATTAAAAAAATTTTTGCATTTAAATATAACTATATATTATAAATGATCTTTGTCCTCCAAATATATTTGTATTACTTAAAAAAATCCACATCATATATATGTTTATATAAAAAAGAAAAAGACAAAAATATAAAGATTTTCAAAACCGTTTCCATGTGTATTTTGCGTGCAATAATTTAGTATAGAAACAATTGAATCAAGCTACACGTATACTAGAGTAGAATGGAATGAAATATATACGGATTACGTCCGATCGCAAGCAGTATTTACCAAATATCAATATACGAAATGAAAAGAAAACAATTTACCTTGGCTGTTGGTGAAAAGCCTCAGCGCGAGTCAATATTCCGATTTCGCATTGAAACGGATGCAAATTCGAAAGTACGAAAGTTATTATCCGTTTATCGGTACGCTCGTCTCGAACCGACTGTAATAAACGCACACAAATCGACGCTATCGAATCTATCATGATTCCACCAAATCATCGATTCACGATTCATCGCCACGTTTGAATATCACCATCGAGTCGCGTTCGCGCTTAATCGCAATGGCGTCGTTTTACGGCGGGAATTCTGTTTGCGAGGTACGGTTGCGCCATCTTGCGTCAGTCGAGCGAGACAAATCAAATATGGCGGCACGATTGTCGCGGAGACATGAAATATATAAATGTGTAAAATGTGAAAATAAATATATAAATGTAAAAATAAACACAAAAATAAATATATAAATGTAAAAATAAATACATAAATGTATAAAATGTATAAATGGAAGCATTAGCTGCCAATATCCAATAAAGGTGCTTGTTTCCTAGAGATTTTAGTTAACAATATTTTAAGTTCTAGGTTCTAGCAGAGAGAAGACTGAGAGATGTCATAGCCCGCTTTTAGGTGATCCCTGGAAGCGATACTCCCTCTGTGGACATTAAAAACGTGGACATGAACTACAAAACCAATGCCACGAATGTTCTCAGAGGATAATACATTATATATGTCTTTCTGATAATATAAATAATATAAATAAAAATATAAATAATTTAATTAATAATAATTTATTATATAAAAATAATATGTTGTCTCTTTTCACGCTATTATTTATTTATTTATGTTATGGTTTTGTGTCTTCTTTTTCTTTTTCTCAACATTATTTATTTATTTATTTATTTAGTTCGCTCTAAGTCACTCTTTTAAAATGCAAAACTAAATATTATAAAATTTGACTTCGGAAAAGCGCGTTAAAACAATCGAATAAATTCAAATCATTAGCATAACAAAAGGTTCCGTGATACATCAATTTAATAATTAATTTAAAATAAAATATACCTCTATAATTTAAAATTCCGCGTGTATATGTAGTACGTAAAATATTTCGGCAGAGAATTATCAATAATATTATGTTTGTTTTGGCGATGTATAGGCAATGTATAAGCGCGCTATACATATCACGGCTTTGTCATCATTCGCACGGTGACTCTCGAGTAATAAAGTAGTGATGAGAAACGCTTCGTATATTGTAATTTTTGTGTTAAACACGATTAGGATTAATATTGAAACATAATTTGCTATAAATAACAATAAGTATTAATTAATTAAAAATTAATTAACGACATAAAACTCGCAACGATAAATCTTTATCGAAACGCATTCATTCATTACTGCGAATAAAAATTAAAATAGGGAATACATAAAAGGGCATAAGAGAATTAATTATGTTATGATCCTTATGTTATGACCTTTCAATCATATTGATGCTTATTATAATAATATTTCTTTAATAATATTAGAATTAAATATATTTCGACCAATGCTTTAAATATTCTCAATTCTTGTTAATTAAACAATACACAATTTAATCGAGAATCGATAAAATGATAGGAATACAAAATATTAAATAATCACTTCGATTATTGTGATCTTTACGGACAATAATTATTATTTTAATACTTAAAATCACAAATATATTCCGCGTTATTTTATCATTCTACTTGACAATGTGAGATGAAATAAAACAATCGAATTATAGATTCAAATAATTAACATAACGAAATAAAACAATCGAATTATAGATTCAAATAATTAACATAACGAAAGGCTTCGTGATGAATAATTTATAATAATAAATAATCAATTAATCTTAATCATTAAATTAAAATACTTCTATAATTTAATATTCCTCGCGCAAATATTTGATATTACAGAAAATATTTCAGCAACGAGAGAATTTTATCAATAACACCGTGTTCGACCTTGATAAACAGTATCGTGCTATTGTTAATATGTTACATGGCTTTATTATCATTCGCAGTAACTTCGAGCAATAAAGTGACGTTTCATTTATTATCAAATTTTTTCTTTACATAGTCAACCTTGGCGATATAAACAGTACCGCAATGTTTTTGACTTACAATCATTCGCTCAGTGGTTCTTGAGCAGTGAAGTAGTGATGTAAGACGTCTCATATATTATCAAATTCTTTCTCTAAACACAATTGCAAGTGCAAGGAGGAACTTTTCGTGAATGAGCGTAAGTCTAACGAGGAATTCAAATGAGTGCAACGAAGATTGGAGTGCCACGAGGAAAAAGTAAAGGAAGCAAAAGAAAAAAAGGAAGTCTTGGAAATGGATGGATCAATAAGATATGATGTAAGTCATTAATATTTTAATTATTTATCACATTCATTATTTATTATATTGTTACGTCCCCGCGTCATATCTCCCTAGATGTATTTGCTACCCGTTGAATTCTTTCGGCGGGAAGTACGTTGACGGAAGAAGATCATTTCCGCGCGCGTTGTCAAGATATTATTATAAACAACGACTGTCGGAGAGTCTGAGCCCAGCTGTCAAAATGTGCGGACGCGCGTCTATTTGTGATCCGTTTTATTCTGAATTCTTGAATGTTACTCGCGGTTTATTAAAATACTTGTGCATCTTAAATCGCGTTATTTACCGCGTTATCGTTCCGCGGATGTAAAAATATATAAATTATTTATCATTAGTATATATTCAAAATATATGTATTTTACGTTTCTTATTTCTTTGTTAGTGATTCAATAGTGATTTTAAATTGTAATATATATAATACATATATTTATAAAAAATATTCCATTTTATTTTAAAATAATTAAAACATTCATAAAATTTTTATTAATTAATATTTTCAGACACTTCAATAATTATTTTAGAGATAGGTTTATCTTCAATAATTAATATTTTCAGAAACGATTAATAATTTTATTAATGACTCTTTTGATTACGATTATTTACGTTATATAAAACTTAAATTCTATTATTGCATATCTATTATTAATAATAAATGTCGCGTAATTAATTTTTGCTGATCAGTCTCGTCTGGATTATATAAAAATTTTTAGTATATTTTATATTATTTAGTATATTTTTGACATTTTCGTGTAATAAATTATTCCATGTAATAAATTATTTTGTATAATGAAATTTCGAATTATACTTTATATTAAATTTTTTTATATTTTGTCGTATATTTTGTAATATATATTTAGCATAAAAATGTATAAAAATATTATGTTGGTATGAAAATTATAATAAAAATATATAAAAATAATGTTAGCTGTATTAAAATGGAACATATGAATTCCTTATATTTTATATAAAGTAAGAGACTTAAAATATTTTGCAACATCTATATTTTTCGAATCTTAATTATAAAAACTTCAAAAGAATCAGTGATTAATTTGACAAATTCTATATATGTATTAATAATTAAATTTTCAAATAATTAAAAAAATGATTAATAAATATCAAAGATCAGTTTACTGCTAATTAAGAAGATTTATAGAAATACGGTTAAAAATGTTTTTATCCCACAGCAGGCATTTTGTGTTTTATAAATAAAAAGATATAAATATGACAATGAATATAGAAAGATCTTTATTTCATGTTTGAATATTACAGTATCTTTCGCGATTGAATAATTTATTTACTAACAATTTACATACATAAGTATCTTATTATACAGCACTGGTGTTACCGGCATTTCTGGTTTTGTTTCGTGCACATAGCACGAAACAAAACCAGAAATTGTGCACGTTATATTACCCTCTGAGAACATTCATGGACATTGGTTTTGTAGTTCATGTCCACGTTTCAATGTCCCTAGAGGGAGTATCGCTTTCAGGAATCACAGCAGCTCATAAAAGCAGGTCATGACACCTCTCACAATCAGTCTTTTCTCTGTTTCTAGTTTCTATCGAGCACGGTGTGAAATCTGTGGCTCATCTATGTATATTATTTATCCATGGACGCGGAGACGTTCCTAACCTTCTGAATCGTTGACATCGCGCAAACAAATTCCAAGATAAGCGGTTAGGAGAGAGGTAGAAGAATGTTTATAGTGACGAAGGAGATTGACAGTGAGAATATTAGTAAATTGTGTCGCACGTGCTTGAGGGAAGACGGCGACAAAATGGTATGCTTGTTCGTGGGCCCGGCTGGTTCGTCACTCGCCGCTAAATTACGATCGCTCTCTTGCTTGGAGGTAAGCGACATTTTCCGTCTCTTTAAGCTTGCGTATGTAAAGTCATATTTTGAGTATGATACTTGCAGGTCTGGCAAGGAGATGGTTTACCGGAGAAGATGTGCGATCGTTGTGTCACCAGAGCAGAGTCGGCTCTTTTATACAGGGAGCAATGTCGTGCAGCTGACAGGGCTTTGCGACAAGCAGCGTTGAAGGTAGCAGGACGAATCGTACGAGAAATTGTAGTATATTCGGAATTATATACATATAGAATATTACTATCGATTATATTTAAATAGGTATCTGGATTGACGTCGTATACTACCGTTTCTGGCTGCAAACTCTATCAAAATCAACAAAATCAAGGATTCATACCTGTGCAAAATCCTCACAAGACGCTAAAGTGTATGGAATGCGGTGCAGTGTTTACCAATTATCAAGAACTCTGCGCCCACAATCGACTGCATTTGCCCTTTATACAGGATAACATACCTATGCAACATATGCACATTGTGGAATCTCAAAATTCATACCTCAATTTTACTCATGTGGGTTCAAACTTTACCAATGATAGTAGTATAAATATGCAATTATCTCCATCGGTCAGATCAAATATGATGCATGCTATGTCATTGAACGAAGAAAATTCGAGTCGCGCTGCTTGTGCCTTGCATTGTTCTTTGTGCAACCATACTTTCACCAATAGGAGACAATTAATAAGTCATAATATAGCACATAGTACAGAGAATGTAGATATATCATGCGATAATGAAAATATAGAAATATGTGAAAATTCTAATCATATTCCACAAAATTTAAGTTACGAAAGGTCCATTCATTCTGTTGACAATCCCATTCAGAATCTGTCTTATCAAAGATCCACTGTAGATGATAACGATGGAATGCAAAATATAAACTTTCCAGAAAATATTGATTTGGATGGCGTCCAAGAGAATAGTTCAGAGCGTTTACACAATGTAACGATACAATCGGAAAATAATGTATCAATTACGGAAAATTTGAGATTTATAAAAGCACTCGAAAAAGATAGGCAACTCGTAATCGAATATCATGGATGTTCAACTGATAATAATTACAAACAGCCTGACATAAAAAGCATAGAAGATGTTCCAACAGTAAAGAAACATCAGTGTGAAGTATGTTTGAAACAATTTGGACAAAAATCTAAATTATTCGCTCATCAGTTGTCTCATTCTGGTCAACAACCGTTCAAATGCCTGAGTTGTGGCAAAGCTTATGCATCAAAAAGTAAACTCAATGCGCATATGAGATTACACACCAAAACCAATGTGCATCAATGTAAGGTATGTGATAAAATATTTCCATATCCGTCTTATTTAGAGGAACACACAAAAATACATAATAAAAGTGATAGCGATAGGCCACAAAGCAAGGAATTTGAATGTAGCACTTGTAATAAACGTTTTCAACTTTTAAAGAATTTGAAAGCTCACGAAAGACTTCATACTGGAAAGGGCTTAGTGCAATGTGAGATTTGTGATAAAAAATTTAGTCAAAATTATAATCTAAAAATGCATCTACGAACGCACAAAATGTCGAGAGTGCACAAATGCGAATATTGCGACAAACGTTTTGTACAGAAAGGTAATTTAGTCGAACATTTACGGATTCACACTAAAATGAAGCCTTTTGTGTGTAAATTATGTGGTAAAAGATTTGCGCAATCAAGTCATCTTAAAAGTCATGAAACTTCGCACGGCGCCTTGCGACAACATCAATGTCGATTATGTGGAAAGAGATTTAAATTAGCTAATCACTTAAAACGGCATTTAAATTTACATACTGGTTCAAAGATGTACAAGTGCAATCAATGTAATCAAATGTTTTCCCAATCTTTCAGTTTGACAAGACATTTAAAAAGGCACAATGAATCGCATATATAATTTATTTAACAAATTGTAATTTATGTACATAGAAAATTGTGTTTCTATATGTATATATATATATATATTATGTATATAGACAATATATGAATGGCTATTACAAAGATACATTTTGCATAATTGCAAGATTTTTTTATCTATATTTATATTAGATATTATTTTTTTTATTATTCTTTAATAAAAAATAATAAAATAATAAAAAATAAATTCTCTTTTTTTTTTTTTATTATTCTTTCTTATTATATTCTATCAGAGAATAAAGAAATATTAAATCTAAAATCTGAAATCTAGACACTTTTCTTGGAGAAAATGAAATAATGCCAGAATAGAAACATTATAATTTCTTTACTTGTTATAAAAATATGTTTATCATAATTTTGACGAAATTTTGAATCCTTTACTTGTGATTTTTTAGGATTGTAGTTAGAATATTTATGCCTTCTCGCAATTGCTCTTCCGTGATTGTTAATGGTGGTGATATCCTAATAATTTGACCGTGTGCAGGTCTCGATAACAATCCAGCATCTCTTAGCTTCAGACAGATATCCCAACCATCAGCAAACTCTGTAAACAAAAGATTTATTAAATATATCATGTATAGCAAGATTCAGTATCTTGTACATAAAAATTGTTCAAAAATATTGTTAAACAGACGCGTGTAGTCTCTTTATCCACTTTATCCACTTTATCATGCTTTTTTATGTAAAGATATCGACAACGCGAGATAAAGATATGATTTGCAATTTACGTGTGCATCAAAATAAATATTTTATCTTTGCTCGTATCATGCAACAAAGTTTTAATTTGTCGACCGAATTTATCGGCGATGGCTTAATCGAGTAAATTGTTTACGATACCTTTATTAATGACGAGGCCAGCTAAAAGACCACGTCCACGAAATTCTGTCGCGATATCCTTCGGTAGCTTACTTAATTCTTCTTTTAAAATATTCCCGAGTCTTTTTGCGTTTTCCGCCAAATTTTCTTCTTCCAATATTTTAACCGCTTCTAGAGCAACCCTATTTCCAAGCGGACTTCCACCGAAGGTACTTCCATGCGAACCCGTCTCCAGACAGAGCATTATCTAAAAGGATTGATAATTATTAATAATTAACATTTAGGACATTTAAGATTTTTAAAGATCTTATCGAAATAATCAATCGATTAGCATTGGATATAACGATATTTTGGAGCTACAGTAGATCCAGATACGTGTTATCGTATTTGCATAAAATTTGAAGGTGTGTAAACGAAATTATGATTATTAAAAAATACTTTATATTTAAAATTTAAGTAAGAATGAAAATGATTTTTTAGTGGCTGCAATAACATCTTTTCAGATACCTTATCATCTGCCAGAACACCGGATACTGGATACATGCCACCAGAAAGTGCTTTCCCCAAAATAAGAATATCCGGTCTACAACCTTCGTAATCGACTGCCAAACGTGTACCAGTTCTACAGAGACCAGTCTGCACTTCATCGGCAATCCATAAAACATTGTATTTTGTGCAAAGTTCTCTTACACGTTTCAAATAACCATCCTGAATAGAACAGAGAGCGAAAAAGTATTAGTATCTCTACAAAGATAACGATAATGATATTAATCTAGTTTTTTTTTTATAATTAGAACAAGTACTTGAGAAATAATTTTTTTATCTAACAAAGGAGATAAGTTATATTTGTATAATAACGAGACTTTCTTCAATATTCTAATCATATATAATAATAACAAAATAAATAAATAAATAAAAATAATGCTTGTCCCGTAATATTCATAATATTGCATATCTTTGCGTCAACTTACAGTCGGTATCACTACACCAGCTTCTCCCTGAATAGGTTCTACCATGAACGCGCAGATATTGGGATTCTCTTTGAATTTTTGTTCCAAAGCGACCGGATCGTTGTATGGTATTTTCTCAAAAAGGGGTACATAAGGACCGAAATCTGTGTAACAGTTCGGATCCGACGAGGCTGACAAAGCCGCTAATGAACGGCCCCAAAAATTTCCATTAGCGAATAAAACGGTAGCCTTGTTACTTTGCACCTTTTTAATTCTGTAGCCCCAGCGTCTGGCCAATTTTATGGCTGTATCGCCAGCTTCGACACCTGTTGTAAGTAAAACAAAAGAAAATGATGCAAATTTTTATAATTTTCCATAATACGGGAATATAGAATTTCCCGTAATTTATAGAATATAGAATGTTTCTTATAAATAATACTAAGTAGTACTACAGGTTTCATCCGATAATTACTAACAACAGAAACAAATAAATATTTTTTTATGAAAATTCTTAAAATGAATTCACACCTGTGTTCATAGGTAAAAATCGATCCCATCCCAGGAGTTTTGTCAAGTATTCTCCTAATTCGCCATGAGGTTCCGAATAATAGGCTCTTGATGTATGCGCCAACTTTCCAACTTGATCTCTCATGACCTTTACTAGACGCGGATGACAGTGGCCCTGACTGACGGTCGAGAATCCCGCCAGAAAATCAAGGTAACGTTTACCATTAATATCCCACAGATAGACCCCTTCTCCATGAGATAGGACAACCGGTAGCTGTTTGAAGTGTATACCGCCATATTTAGTGTCACGATCAATCACTTCCTGGGTACTCAAGAATCTCCTCTTGTCCGATTCTCTTATAAAATTGAAGAACCTTTGCCTCACGGATTGCATGGACATTTTTTTCTCACCCTATTCATCAATAAGTATATTACAATTTTTTTACTTTATATTGATATCATATTTTTTTATTTAATAATGTATTTTGTTTTATATTATTATTTTTATTTTTTATTATTATCTTTAATAAAAATAAATTTTTTGAAAATAATATTAATTTTTAAATTTACGTTTAAAACAATTATTATTTATTCTAAAGTAAATTTATTCGAAAGTATTATGTATGTATTGCACGTATACCTTGTGATTAACATATTTTTTTATATGAAAAAATTAAAAAAATTTATTATTATTAATATAATATTTAATATATACACAGAAAGGTACCGTCTTTTCCTTTATACGAATAAGAGTAAAATGCCAAGAAATAGTCTGATGGCATTCAATCAATCTTGCTTTTATACTAAGTTGGTAAAAGATATGGCAAAAGATATGATTGCTTATTTATTGACATTGTACGCAAGCATTGCGACAGATATGGATTTAAAATAAATACTGTTGCAAACCATATCTGATAAAGAGTCTAATGACTGAGGATATGAAGGCGCCAATGTTCCAAAGTAAATGAGATAACGATAAACAATAAACAATAAACGATAAACAATAATCTGAGATGACTTCTACATTAAGGATACAGAGAAAATGAAATTATTGTGCGTGTGAATTTGGATTAAATTCTTTTATTAATAATTTTCAAGCATATTTTTTATCATTGTTAAGAATTTGATAAAGTAATCATATAATGATATATACAAAAAAAAATTAAATTTGTGAATAAATCTTGAAAATATAATACTTCAAAAAACTTTAGATTATATATTTTAATAATAAGCTTTGCGTTAAATAATTTATATTTTGCTCAAAATGATAACAAATAATTATTTAATATTTAAATAAAGATAAATAATAAGAAAGAGAGAGAAGAAAAAGATAATATCACATTCAACTATTAACTGGGTTTATAATGATATAAATTGAATGTATGTCGAACTGTATATAATGTGTCGAAAAATAGATATTTTATCAAACACGAATCATCTTACTTTGTTTTGCTTTTATTGCTTATTACAATCTTGTAAAAATAATATAGAGGTATATGGCATATCAGCATAATCACATTTTTTTAGATATTATTTCATAATTTAATTGTTTATTTTATTATTTAATTAATTTATTATTTAAAGAATGAGAAATAATTTGATAAATTAATTGAAATAAGACAATACGAAACAATCTTGTGAATTATTCAAGTAGCAACAAGTTATATGTATATATTTTTCGTCATATTTTATCTCTCGTATTATTGCTCTAGGAACACATCGTTATTTGCGTAGAGAACATTATCGTATTAAGCTATTAATAACCCAAATGTAATAAATCGAATAAACGCACACACACATTCTCTCGTTTCATTAGTCTTTATCATTATTGAGATAATAACACGACGAGATAATAACACCATTCAAGATGAAGACTTTCTCTCATAATAGAAAAAAATCATTATAAGTAATGATAATCGTATAAGTACATACATTTATACGTCGCGTTTAATGACATTTTATGAATAAACAACATGTGCAATTTAAAAATATACATACATGTCGATGTTTGTATATTTTTAAATTGCACATGTATATCGTTATCTCAGATTACTATTTATCGTGTTCTCAATTTTATGTCAAACATTTAATCCCCGTAATATGTATCGCTTGATAATTTCAATTTATCAAAAGTATCGAATTCTTTTGATATATATATATATATCTTAATCTACTATATGCAAGTGCTATCTATCTATCTATTTATCTATCTATATCTATCTATCTACCTATATATATATATATATATATATATATATATATATATATATATCTATTTATATATATATATATATATATATAAATAAATAAATAAATAAATAAATATATATATATATATATATATATATATAGATAGATAGATAGATAGATAGATAGATAGATAGGTAGGTAGGTAGGTAGGTAGGTAGGTAGGTAGATAGATAGCACTTGCATATTGTAGATTAAGATATTGCATGAACATTATCAAGATTATATCTTGTATGTATGTAATGGATTGTATCTTGATTAAATAAAATTTTTTAATATAAAGTAAATCAGGAAAATGAAGGAATAGATATAATGTATCATGATAAATTGTTAAGAATACACATTTTTATTTGAAAAATACAATATAATTACAAGTATAAAAACAAATGTTTTTATATCGTACAAAAACAAATGTTTATATATCGTATTACTAATATATGTATATTTTATTTCTTAAAATGTCTTCTATATCATATATACATAACGTACAATATTATAAATAGAATTCTGTTTTGAATTTTACCGCAAATTACATGAATTGTATCCAAAATAGATTTTAATATATACTTTAAAACAATTATTTATCGAATTATGTTATATTAAAAATTAATGTATTAATTATATTAATTATAATTATATTAATTATAATTATTATGCTAATTATAATTAATATGCTAATTATAAGTAAGAATAGTTTTAGAAATAATATCCGCGCACTCACGTATCTGTTCCTCCGTAATAATCAACGGTGGTGCCAAACGAATAATGTGTCCATGTGTTGGTTTCGCTAAAAGTCCATGTTCCTTTAGTTTTATACAAATATCCATGGCATTGATCTTTTTATTGATGACGATGGCATTCAAAAGACCCTTTCCTCTCACTAGAGTGACTACGTCTTTCGGTAGCTTGTTTAATTCGTTTCTGAGCACATGTCCAAGTCTTTCTGCGTTCTCGGCAAGTTTTTCTTCTTCCAGAACACGAACCGCCTCGAGAGCGATCCTACATCCCAGAGGATTGCCACCATAGGTGGATCCATGTTCACCGGGTTTGATAGCGAGCATGACGGGATCATTTGCCAACACACCGGAAACTGGATAAAATCCTCCGGATAGAGCCTTACCAAGGATCAGGATGTCCGGCTTTACGTTTTCGTAATCAACGGCAATTCGCTTCCCTGTCCTCGCCAAACCAGTCTGCACCTCATCAGCGATCCATAGGACATTATATCTTGTACAAAGTTCTCTGATTCCTTTCAGATATCCATCCTTTTTGAAACAAAGACAATTTAAAAATAATGTTTGAAAATCCTTAAATAAATTCTTATACTTATATTTAATATTTGCATGGGATATTACCTTAGGAACCACTACACCAGATTCACCTTGGATAGGCTCCACCATGAAGGCGCAAACGTTTGGATCATCAAGAGCTCGCTGGAGCGCCGAGAGATCATCGTAAGGAATAATTTCAAAGCCCGGCATGAATGGCCCGAATCCGCCGTAACTACTCGGATCGGTACTGGAGGAGACAGCGCTCATAGTTCTTCCCCAAAAATTGCCTTCCACAAATATTATTTTAGCCTGATTCTGCGGTATACCTTTACAAGAATATCCCCATTTGCGTGCCAATTTGCATGCCGTTTCACCACCTTCGACACCTGTATTCATCGGTAGCCACTTGTCATATCTGAGGTATGAAATAGATATCAAGTATGAATAATTTTTTTCGCAACGTTATTAAGGATAAATATTACAAAATTGTATACATTTTGGAGGAAATATTTGTACAATAGTTTCCTTTTTAAAAGTTTCTTTGTTTTATTAGTTATATAATAGAAACAAAATTTCATAAATTGCAATGTTTTTCAATGTCTTTATTTAATAATTATTAGTCATTTGTGATTGCATTAGTTTTAAGAATTTTTTAAAAAGATTTTTTAAAAAAGAATAAGATTAATTTTGTTCTATATATCCCTAGCCTTAGTATTTTCAAAATATTTAAGATCTTCGAAATAAATGTGGATTTCGAACTGCATCTTATATATAGATTACACTTGAGATTACACTGTAGATTATAATATTTTTCCTGCACAGATCTCATACTCTGTTACGTTATCAATTAATCTTATCAATATAGACATTAAATCTTTCAAGGTAGCGCGTTACATACCCGAAAAGTTTCGTAATATATTCCTCGAATTCACCCAAAACATCAGAATAAAACGCTCTAGATGTCAAAGTTAAAGTCTTTGCTTGATCGAGCATCGCTTTGTAGATTCTTGGATGGCAGTGGCCTTGATTAACTGCCGAATAAGCACTTAGAAAGTCAAAGTACCGTTTACCTTCGACATCCCACATAAAAACACCCTGTGCTTTGCACAAGGCTACAGGAAGTGGATGGTAATTATGAGCTCCATACTTTGCTTCACGATCGAAGATTTGTTGAGATGTAAGTTTTCTACATTGAATGTGCTAAAAAAGGAAATTATATTAAGTTTAGCCTTAACATATTTTAAAATATTTTATAGTTATTCTATAAGACGAAATGAAGAATACGGTTAAATTAGTATTAATAATATATATTACCCAAGATTGAGGATATAATAGCACTCTTGCCGATCTTTTGATGTTTAATAGCGCTACTCTTGCTAATGGATCCATTGAAGAAATTGTTGAGGTACTTGCTTGGTAAGCCGCACGACAATATGCTTTGCTACGCAAGCACGATTGAGAGATTTGATATTAGAATTCTCTGACCGTAAGCTAAGTGGCCCGTCGTAAAGCATTCGCGAACATTCTGTGCGATAAATTGTGATAAAGTAAAAGTTTACCGTCGCCACTGGATAAATTTATACTTTTAAAATATTAGTTTAAATATTTGCCAAAGAAAAAATATATTTTTAATTTATATTTATATTTATAAAATATTTCTAATCTATTTATTATTCATTTATTCCTTATTTTATTTTTTTAATAATATTTTTCCTTAGACGAGCTTTAAAATTATAAGAAATTATATGAAAAATATTATATAAATTATTTAAACATTTTTCAAATTGCAAGACAAATTTGTTAATCTATTTTTTTCAAAAGCTGTAATTATAATATGAAATTTTAGATAAATCATATTAATTATCTTTATTTTTTACATATCTCTTATCTAATTATGATAGTTGAATCCTTAAACAATATTGGAAATTAGACATTAAAAATTTAAAGAAAAAGATTAAATCATTCTTCAAAAATTATTTTTTATTCGCAATAAAACTTTTAAGAATTGACATTAATAGATTAACATACATATATGAATTAATATAAATATATTAAGTCTTACAGCTCACTGTCACTAACGACACGTACACCAACTTGTCACTCAACAGCGACTCTAGTCGAACTCTGGCGTATAATTGTATGTTCTTTCTGCTGCTAGTTCAAGTTTTATTTATCTTAATCGTACAGTATATACTGAAGGATAACATCGTATTATGTATCTCTTGCTTACACTTACGTCAATACAAATCTTATTACTTTCCTTCCTATACATCTATCCTTGTCGAATTATCGCCGATAAGCAATACATTCTCATATGATACATTTATATATATAAAGACGATTCTTACGCAAAATAAATAAATAACTTTTGCAATTACATTACAATAAATAATAACGATTTCAATTTCTGTGGACAAAAAATGTTACTATTAAAAAATTGTCGCTATCACTGCATATTTTTGATTAAAAGCAATTAAACTTTATCACTATATAACTAAATAATTGCAAATTTACGTTACCGATAAGAAAAAATTGCTGAATAATCCTATTTGTGAAAAAATAAATTTCCTGTTGAAGTAAAATTGTTGATTATAAAATAGTTAATAGCATTTTACTATTGCGAAATTACTATTATGACAAAATAAGAATCAGTTTGTTATTATTGCATAACAACATTTATATGCATATATTATATAGAGTGTTTGGAAATCGCCCGCAGTACTTAAGAAATAATTCTAAAAAGAAGGCAAAAAGCTATATAAACATAGGACCAGAAATAAGTCGTTTCCGAGTTATAGCCACTTTTATGTTAACAAAATCGTAATTTATATTCCACTTATATTCCGTAATTTAAAAAGGAGGATGTCAAGCGGACTATAAATTACGATTTTTTTAACATAAAAGTGGCTATAACTCGAAAACGACTTATTTCCGAACCTATGTTTATATAGCTTTTTTGTCTTCTTTTTTTGAGTCCCGAATCACTTCCCAAAGTACTGCGGGCGATTTTTCGGACATTTTGTATACGCGATATATTTATTTTAGACGCATTTAAACACAACGCATCTTGTCGAGTTTATAAATGAATTTCAATCTAATATTTAATGCTACGTAAATTATTAAGTTTATGCAAAAAACTGTTAATTTTCTATTTAGCACAGAATATAAAAAAATGAAAATATTTTCCATTTTTTTAAATTTTAAGATGTATGTGTATAAGAATCTAGTTATTTATTATAAAAGTAAACAACATTTCGCGTCGTTATAATTATATATGTATATATGTATAATTATATTCAGTAATATATTTCTATAATATTTCAACATAAAATTTTATTTAATGTCAGTATCAGCAACAAAAATATTGAATTATTTTATTGGTATAATTGCAATTTATACGTATAAATATAATTATACATTTTATCACATTTGAGCATTGTTATCGACCAAGTTATTTTACGTACTTATCGATAGTAAATTTCTGTAAGACTTCATATCATTTGAGTATTGTTATCGATTCGGCTATACTTGTATATTTATCAATTGCAGATTCTTTCCCGCCAAAAATGCGCGCGTGGATGCGCAAAGCGATTTAAATTGATTTGAATTAACTGTTTCGAACGAACACCTGTTGCTATTGTCTAAAAGCTTTGTGAATCTTTTATTCCAATAGCTTTAATATTCTTTAACCAAGCCCATGGATGAAGACGATTATGAAGCTCTCCGACAAAAAAATATATCCGAAAGGAACGCTATTGTAAGTGTTTTTTTCATTCGATGAAACTGTAAATAACCTTACTTTTCAGAGAAAGCTAAAATTTTCTTTGTGTATGTATGCAGAATATTTCGGTTATGATATAATGTATCTTATATAGTTTGCAGATCTTTTCAAAGATATAAAGAAACAAACGAGAGAAATTAAAGGACTGGAGAAGAAACGATTGAGCAGTCACGATACCGAAAATCAACCGTCCAAGAAAAGACGTAGAACAACTTCAGAAAGTGTAGAAAATTTTCATGGTGGTGGAATACGTTTGCAGTTTCGTCGAACATACAACACTAGAAGCCGAAAGAAGGCATCCGGCAACGATGAATCTAACGATTCTGAAAATGAGAATGAAGAAAATGACTTATCAGAGTCTAAACGTAATCGACCCAAATTGAGAGTTTTATTTCCATGGGCAAAGCCATTTCAGCGCTCCATTGATTTAATGAAAATGGGTGTATGTGATGTAGACGAGGAAGAAGAAGAAGAAGATTACAAAAATGACAGTTTCGATGAAAATAGGCGAGAAAGAAGAGTTTACAAAGTAACAAAATCTGCATATGATCCTGAAAGCATACCATCGGTAGATGAGATTACGCAAGAGATGTTAAACAATGTAGTGAAAAAAATGTCCTTGAAAACATATTGTAAAATTAATGGTACAAGCTGTCACCAATGTAGACAGAAGACTTTGGATACAAAAACAGTTTGCAGATCAGGAGAATGTGTAGGTATTAGAGGACAATTTTGTGGTCCATGTTTGCAAGGAAGATATGGCGAAAATGCTATAGAAGCATTAAAAGATCCAGTAAGTTAAATTTCTTCTAATATTAGCATTGTATAATGCATTATACATTAAAATATTAGTGTGATTAAATTTTTGTAACTTTAATTAACTGCAATCTTTTAGGATTGGGCTTGTCCACCCTGTAGAGGCTTGTGTAATTGTAGTATATGTCGCACTAGAAGTGGACTTTGTCCTACAGGTATTTTAGCTCCTATTGCACGGGAGGAAGGATACTCATCTGTTATGGACTATTTGCAAGCATCAGAAATCGATGATAATTAAACATTCATGCATTATATGATTAAGTTTAGTTATGTAAAATATCAATATTGACTAGAATGTCAGTTAAAATCATTGAATTAAGAATTTATTTTAGATGCATATTTTGATACATTAAATATTGAGTAAATTTTACATGTCTCACCTACATAAAAAATTTTTGATTATAATTGATGAAAATTTTTAATTGAAAACGTTAATTATAATATGAATTATTGTTTATATAACTATGTATAGTACACTTATCTAATTAGTGATTTTCATTATATTTATATTTTAACAAAAATTTGGAAAATTATTGGTTTATGAAAAATTTTGTAATTTGCTTGTTACAAGCATTTTAATTAGTTTGAAAGACAAATCAAATGGCAATCATTGATAATATTCAATATGTTCTTCATAATAATCATATTATAAGCATGACAAATATTTTCTGTGAGTAAATTGATGTTTGTACTATTAATTTAGTTAAAACTTTTATTCTTTATTTTTCTCATTTTTTCATATCGTCCATATATATATCATCTCTTTATATTTATTATATTTATTTTATCATAAGTATTGCATAACATCTGGGGGAGACTGTTGGGTCAAATAAACGTACAATAGCAATCTTCGAGTGTTGGGCATTATTTTGTAGAAATATAATTTTGTCCAACATAATCGCCGCTTCCACCACTGAACTTGTATATATTCTTAAAATTTGAAAAAGACGCAATTTTGATTCAAAGTGTATGTGACTCTGATATATTTCCTGCAGTGTACAAGTAGATGGTATCTAAAATTATATATTTTATAAAATTCTGTATTAGAACGATAATGTGAAAATAACTTTAAGTATAATGAAAACCTGTTTATTATCTATTCCAATTTTAGATAAGGCCCATTTTGCATAATCTGCAAAATTATCCAATGGTCCACCACGACCAACTTTAGTATTATAATATCCTATTATAAATTACAAGAAAGATACATTATAAATCTCCTATAAAATGTGTGTATTTGTGTTTGACACTAACCCATAGAATGCAGAATAATTTGTAGCACAGCTCTATAAAATAATGAAGGAGAAAGATGTTTATGTCTACTCCTTTCAATGGATTGTTGAGCCAACATTTTAGCATTTTTAGAAAAAATCCAACGTCCACTCAATGATTCGTCTGCTAAATGATAACAACATGGAACTACAAAAAGCAAACGAATGTCTTTTGCATATAAAGAAGCTTTCATTATGGAATGCACAAGCATTCCACAAGTATGTAATCCTGTTAAAATTAGATTCCTATTTACACTCCAATCAGGATAATTCGTATTCACAATTTTGTTATAATCAGTTGTTTCATCTAGTTCTTGAACTACATATCGAGTCTAAAATAAAATAAAGACATTAAGTTTTTAAGATTTTTAAGTGGTAAATTGTGAAATTGAAGTTTTTACAAACCTTTGTTAGTGATTGCTTTCTTTTTCGAATTTTTTCTTGGCGATTTATTGCACCTTTATGACAAACTTGTGATGAATCAATTGCTAATACAGGAACGTCAAAGTGCTCCGATAAATATGTCGACAAGTATCCTTTTCCAGCTCCAGCATCTATTACTAAGCTGTGAGTGGAAAGTGCCATTTCAGCAATAATTTTTCCAAGAACGTCAATCTCGTACGACTTCTTGGTATTCATAAATTGAGACTTTGAATCAATAAATTTATTCTTAATCAATGGTTCTTTACTAGGAACCTGTGGTAATAACTTTAATAAATCATCTACGCATATTACAGCTGGACATGATTCTAAAGAAAGCGCTCTTGTTAATTGTATAAAACTGCTCAACTCGGGACTTGTATTACTTTCCATCCAAATATCGTCATTTATATTAATATTTTCGAGTTCTGATTTCAATTTCTCTGGTAAACATTTATCCCATAATTTTTCAGTAATAAAGTCAACCAAATGGCAATCTATTAGTTCTTGATAAATATTAATAAAATCCAACGTTTTTTCGAAATAATTGTTATATTCTGCCATTGTTGCTAAAATTCAAGTTTGTCTGCTTCGGGATATAGTGAATTAATTTTTGCTAATGAACAGAATTTGGCATATTTACATTTAATATCTTCTACAGCTTTTAGAATATCCAAATTATCATCTTGATGATCAGGAAAAGTACTGTGAATATCTTTCAAAAGCTTTTTGGCTATCGTTATGGTTTTTTCACAATCAGTGGCATTATTTTGTAGATAATGTTCCAAGACTCCACTGTAATATCCTAATTGGGCAGCGATTATACTAGCTCTATGATATCCAAGATGATATCCCTTTAATAGTTGCTCTTTACCACTTTCGTATCCTTTCTCGTAACCTGATTTTTGTGCAATTTCTTCCGCAAATAATAAATCTTCAAAAGCTTTATTTATATCCAAATCCTTTTCTTTCTGAGACATATTAACACTGAAAAGATATACATATAGATTACTTTTTATAATAAGATGATTTTTATTTATTTTTTTGTTGTCATTAATAGGCAAAGGGATAAAATAAAAATTATAAAAAAAAGTTATGTAAGTTATGATACTTATTACACAGATCAAATAATTATAGAGTAAATTATGTATGAATATATATATATATATATATGTTTGTGTGTGTGTGTGTGTGTATGTGTAAATTATGTAGAATTATACACTTACTATAATGCTGAGTAACATGCAGGAATATAAAGTAAATAAACAAAAAAATATATATGTATAATTGCATATGATTGACATGTAAATCAAAAATTGTTAATTTTTCTGATTTGAGAAAATATGACATATATAATTATACAGAATTTTGGGAAAATAATAAAACTTACATGGACCCTTTGTTTATTGTAAATTATTAATTTATAAATTCGAACAAATTTATTTATAAGATTTATTCGTGTTGCTTGCAATTTCTACACTTCAAATAAGAGAATGTACGTTCGTATATTGGAGAAAAAGAAAGCGCAGAATTCGAGAGCGTGGAAAATGTAAGTAAAATGAACAGATCTATATATATATATCCACATGTGACAAATGTGTGCATATATATATGTTAAGTAATTATGTACACATAAACTGAGCTTACAATATACTCGTACAAAAAAAGAACAACATGGGATCGAATTATTATTATGAAGATAGGTTATAACGTTTAGAATCGAATGTTTGTTATTCAACTTAATGTGATTTTCTCTGTCAGTTTCCACTTTTAGTAAGATTTGCGCATAAATGATGACAGACGAGCGGAATTTTCGTTCGTCATACTATGAAAAGGTACGTATTCGCATCATAAATCTGTATAATTTCTAAATTGAAGTAAAAAAACGTTACCACTTGTAAGAGAGTCCCACATATTATATTGCCATAATATTCGTTGAAGAGTATGTAAATATTATTTTTTCTAAATGACAGGTTGGCTTTCGTAGCGTCGAAGAGAAAAAGTCTCTGGAGATATTATTGAAAGAGCGCCCGTTTGACAAGACAAAACTGAAACAATTTTGTTTAAGGTTCACTGTACCTGCTATGTACAGGAACTTCTTGTGGAAGGTGTTGCTCGATGTTATACCTGTTTATGTAGATAGCCATGAATTTATAATGGCTCAACGTACGGCGGAATTTCAAGATTTACAGAGAGCATTAAAAATTGCAAAAATCATAGACGATTATACAAAACCCAATTTGGTATTTTTAGCAATGTGGTTGTTACGTACAAGAAGAGCAAAAGTTGATATAACTGCTCAGTTGGAATCACCATTACACAGGTTTATATACTGTATTTAATATTATGTGTATTACATATAAATGTATATTTTTACTTTAATTTAAGAGAATTGTTAAGAAGTGAAAGAGATTTATTAAGAATTTCAAGCAATTACAATTGTTTTTGGTTTAATATTTTTATAAGTGTTTTAAAAAATATTTTGATATATCTTATAAAGTTATACATACTTCATGTAATATTGACATTAGATTGTCAAATACTTTATTGGAATATTTTATACATTACAGAGCAATGAGTAAAATGGCAGAGACATTATGGCATGTGATCGATATTGAATCGGAACAAGAGAAATTAGTGGATATATATTGGATATTATCTGGACTCTTTATACAAGTTGAAAAGTTGCAAAAAGAAGTGACAAGATTACAAGAGTGTACATATTCTTTGTTGGAAAGAGAGGACATAGAATTACATAAGCATCTTGTTAAAATTGATGCCCTTTATAATCTTCCATACGATACATGGTTTTATTCCTGTTTTGCTGGTGTAATATGCAATGGATCTATTGCTAAGTACATATATGTATATGTATATGTATACCATAAATTATCACATTGTACAATTATCTGCAATTTCATTACTTATTTTAATATTGGCAATATAGCGCGCAATGTACTACAAAATACTTATTTATTATAGAATATGGGATAAAATAACAGTCGGCGCGTATCGAATTTTAGTGTTTGTCGCTGTGGTTACATTAACCACCTTAAGACGGCTACTCTTAAGATGTGAGAGTACAGATAATGTATTAGATACTATTAATAATGTAAGAATACAAAAAATTACAATATTATTTAATAAAACAGGAGATATATTTTCTTAAATTTCATGATTTTGTTTTAGATAACAGAAGAAACGTCAGAAATGATAGTCAATAAAGCAATTGAATCAATGCAACAAAGTGGAACAACACAACAAGTTGATATGTATTTTACAAAACACAGTTAATATCCTATGCCATAATAATATAAAAATATGTTGTGTGATTAATGTCATACATATGTTGTATACATAACACACACTTACTATCAATATCGGATTTGTTTCTTCCCTCCAAACGACATATGAATACAAAAAACGAAAATTTAGATGAATTTTATTATTCGACATTAAAATAAAATTTAACTTTGAAATTATATTATTTGAGGACAAGATTTTATTACACACAATGTCTTAAAGTTTTTCTACAATTCTCCAGTTTATGTTCAATTTATTATCAGTCGATTACTTTGTTTTAAAAATATGAGTTTTTAGATGATACCCTCCTTTATCTTAAAAATAATCATTTTTTATTAATGCATTCATCGTACATTATACATATACAATTACTTAACTCGTAATAGAGTCAAGAGACTTATTCTAAACTTTATTCATTCTTAACGTTATATAATCTTCCGACTTCTCTGCTTTGTATTTATAATACAATTGTATATATTTACTTCAGCATATAAGAGCGACTTTATATGTGTAATTCTAAGGAAACTGAAACTATAGAATTGTAGTTGCACTGTTCGCATCTGTTTACAATTTCTACCTCATTCTGTAATATTTTATTGACAATTCTAGAAAACGCATGTAATTTTGCATTTACATTTGATCATGAGAATCATACTTTTATCATATCGATGGAAACTTTAATTCTAGAAAATCTTTTTTTAAATCTAACACATGTATGCAATGTAACACATGTATATAAATGAGGAGTTAAAATTCAATATGTATCAATGAATACATATTTATTAAATTTTTATGCCACAAAATATCGTATTAATATCGTCCAATAAATATACACATATAATAAATATAATTGTTAACTAAATATATCTTGATATTTCCAAAAAATACATAATCTCGAAAGAGTGCAAATACATATCAAAATTTATAGAGAAAAAAAGAAAAAAATCGTTGAAGAATCTTAAAGAGGAGTACATTTTGCACATTATACATGGGCGTCTATAAAAATTTATTTTTCGATTAATTTGTGTTTGCAATTTGTATTGTTGAATTTAAACTAATTGATTTCAAAATCATAATAAATTTAAAATTAATTCAGTAATTAAAAAATTACTGTTATTTCTTATAGATTATTTTTAAATTCGATTTTTCATGTAAATATATTATTATTAAAATGATAATATAAATATTTAATTGCAACTTTAAATGATCTAAATTATAAATCAATGCCACTGTGATAAAATAGATATATTTTTCCTAAAAGATTTTGATATTTTTCTATAAAATAGAAGCAAAATATACAAAGCTCTATTCTATCATAAAATTTTTTTTCTTTTCATTTTATAACATCAATGACTCCGATTATAACACGCATAAATTTAAGAATACTATTGGTTTTCAATTAATAATACAATTTCATTAGTCATAATATTGACGTCTACCATTGCCTTTGAATGACAAACTATGTATAATCTGCTGCTATCATGTTGAGGCCTTTCGCGTTGTGTTCATAGTATCTATTAAAATAAATAGTTTGTGCAAAACGAGACGGATTATATGATTTACAGATATTAGTTAAATTATACTGGGTGATGTATGACAAGTAATAATCATATTGTGTTTGTATAAAAAGAAATACAATCTGCAAAATTTTAATCTTTTTCAATTATTCTGATGTATTGTGTGTAAAAATTATTTATAAGGAATGTGTAAAATCTATTCTTACTGCTGTATAAACATATATAGATGCAAAAGATACATTGTAATTTCCATCAAGTGCTATTAGCATATAATGTAAAAAGTGAAAACATAAATCAGAAATATAAGGGAAAAGGATACGACATCAAAGTAAAGAATCAATTATTATGTTATATAAGTCTAATAAAAAATACTGATTATAACTTTCATCGATGTGCCATTTTGTGCTATTGGCGAACTGCATAAACTAGGAGTCACTGATACTTTGCATAAAAGCGGTCATATCTGTCATTTAGTAGTCGGCGCAAGAATCTTGAAAAGGAAGAGCTAATTTAACACGCATTTCATAACATAATATGCTTGTAATACGATTATACTCGACTTTGAGATCAACCCACGTATCATTGCACAAGCACTGCTTGTGAGAAATTTGTCACAACCTAAACATTAAGTTCCATCAATAGTTCTAAAATCAATTTTATAGTTATTGCCTTAAACAAATAGTATAATACAATATAGACAATTCTATTACAATCTTCATTCGAGTCAGGTGCACTTTATAGAGCGACGACTTTTTTCGCTCGATTAAAAGCTCGAGTTTTATCGCTCAGCTATTAACATTTTCATCATATGGTATGACTTGCTTTACTTTTTTTCAATAGACACTATAGCGCGGCGGAATTACAATTGTCGACTAGTGGCGATAATGGACCGATCTTTCCTCTTCCACTTCCCGTTCGGTCTCCCTCGTACTGAACATCCAAAGATAAACCTAAAATTTAAAATACTTTAAGTTTACATTGTATAATACAGAAGAGTATTAAATTTTTGATATTTAAATTATACATGTAAAAATTTTCATGAGACACAAGAGATACTTCGCATATAAATCTCAATATATTATTTTTTAACTTATGTTTAATCGATAAAAATTGCATTTGCAATATAATTTTCGATGAATCCCATCACCATAAATATATTTGGCATATTTGACAACCTTTAACGTACATTTCTGATATGCGTATTTACCGGAGGGCCTCCGGGATGTGGATGGATGATGTAACGATCCTGTCGACATGGTATTTGATTCGGGAATAAACGCAGCTACTAACAGCGCGCAGATCACAAGTAATGCACCAAACACGAACGGCGGTCCTGGTACAAGCTGTAAATATAATTTAATCAATGTTATTATTCAAATAATATTTATATAAATATATTGAACTTTGTTTTATAATATAAATAAGTATAATACTACATTGCATATATATGACACACACGCACACATAGATATGAAAGACTCGTAAAAAAAAAAAACACGACTAAAAGAAACTATGCTTACCTGCATATATAATCCACATACCTGAGGCATTATATCAAGATGCGTGCTAGTTCCCGTCCTGTTGTTCTCATCCACAAATGATGGCTTCAAGGGAAGATTAGGCGTATCGTCGTTAAGATCAACGTGAAAAAGATAGAATATAACACCAAACATAGCAGGACCAAGTCCATTGCAGAGACCACGCATTCCTGTTACCATGCCTTGTACTAATCCTTGCTTATCAGCATCGGAATGCATGGATACGAACGCAGAAATTGCGGGATACGTTATGCTTGATACAGAGGCAAGTACTCCAGCAGCCCACATCATCCTTGAAATTAATATTCAATAAGCTATGACAAAATATGCTTATTTCGTATTCAATATATTTTAATGAAAGAGATGGAACAAAATAGTTCTGGTATAGTTTCCTAGTTTTTTTTTCTAGTATGTATATTGTGTACTAAAATTATTAAGATTTTGAAATATGAAAAATTACATTGCGAATCGCTCAACTACTTGATCAATTTATAAATATATTAATTATTATGTAATATATTATATTGCTAAATATAAACAAATATAATTACCATGTTTGCGAACCGAATCCGTACCACATGAGTTGTAACATCTCAAATAACAGACCAAGCATTATAGTATGTTTGCTACCAAGTGTTCTCATCAAGGGTCCTAATACAATCTGCGCTCCCACACTCAGGATGCCCACCACAGCAATAAATATAGCCACCATGAAACCGGAGAAGCCCATAGCCAATTTTAAATAAACAAATATACAACTATACTGTCCTGCTTCAGGAAGATAGCTCAGGAACACGGTAACACACAGCATTAGAATGGTATGGTCTTTTCCAACCTGTCAAACAAATATCTATATCCATCTATATTTATATACTTATCGTCTTATTGTATCATTTATAGCGTATGTTACAATCTTAAAAAAAATTATATACATTGCACAATGAATATATAATGTTGATAGATTTTATGAAAGATACAACATACATAATACATGCTTAATAAAGCTTTTACCTTTCCAAGAGCAGCAAATGGGTCAGCTTGCTCCCATGATATGGGTGCTGGTGGACGTGCTTTTTCAGGCAAACTTTCAGGTACAGCCACTAATATGAAAAACACATCCAAGACTGCAATAGCAGTTGCTAATGCTACGGCAAGATTTTCTCCATACGTTGTCATGGTATAAGCACCCAAAGCTGGACTTATTACCATACTTGCAGCAAAAGTTGCAGATACCTAAGAAACAAGCGAAAAAAGATACATATATAAAATTTATTTTATACATTAGATTACTAAATAGTATAATTTCTCAAATAATTTCTCTTATTACTACTTTTGATATAAAATTTTGACATTTAATATACATTACAACATTATATTGCAATCGTGCCTAATCGTGGTAAAAATAATGTATACATACCAAACCATACGCTAGCGATCTTTGATTTTCTTCTGTTACATCTGCGACATATGCAAATACCACTGAAAATGTGCAGGCAAATACGCCGCTAATGGAAATCATGGCAAAAAACCACCATGTATTAATGCTCATTAGAGGAATCGGTGCACATGTGAAGGCCACTGTGATAAGTAGAAAGAATTTTCGACCCCATACGTCGGACAGGGCACCGATCAGTGGCGCAGAGAGAAAAGATAAGATTCCTTTAATTCCCATTATCAAACCATTCATTAGGAACGTATGATCCGGAAATGTTTCATTCAATACCGAAATAATAGGCATGGTCAATAATCCCCATGCAAAGAATTCCAAGAATATTACAACTAATGCATGATACACGCTCGCCTCGCCCACACCAGAACTCTGAAAAATAAGAATACAATAGCGTATTACAAATAAATTATAAAATACCGCTTTTAATATAAGTATAGCAATTGTATAAGTTAAATTTGGATAAACGGAAATGATGGCCTTCCACATGTCATAAGCAACATTTATGATATCTTGGCGGCTGACCTTGAGATGTCTGTAGCACTGTTGAACAAACGTAAGAGGAGGTGTAAGTTTAGCTATAGCATGATCTTGACTATTATGTATCTCAGAACAGGACGGGCCCAAGCCCTCTGTTCCGCCGTTTGCCCCAGGGGGCATGACCCCTAAGAAATGTTACTATATATATTTCTTTTCATATTCACATTCTAATTGACGCTTTTGTCATTCTCCACTCATGTGTATGCGATAAAGAAATAGACAATCTTCTCTTAATGTAATATCAATGTACCGTTTCTGCATATCAGTTTTGTGCTAAATTTTTACTCGTCCTTCGATATTATTCTCAGTTTATTCGCTTCAATCGAGTTTATATGATTTTTCATAGCTTTTTTAATGTAACATCCAAAATATTGCACTGCAATCGAAATACAATATACTATATATGTACTTTACTATACTTTATTTTAATTATTTTACAAATAACTTCTTCAATTGTCCTGTTATTATTGTTACATTTACTGGCATATTACATTTGCATTACAAATGAGATCATTATAAAACTAAAACAGCATATATCTGTCTTTGTTATACATCTGTTTTTCATACATTGAAAAATCAATAATTGTCTATTTACATAAAACTTTGATTAATTATTTCTGTCATAAAACTGTCAGCTTTTTATATATATATATATATATATATATATATATATATATTATTTCTGCAATTATTATTTATATACACATTTTCAATTTTAATAAAAAATATTAATCGCAAGATGGATACGCAATAAGTCACTGTTGTCGTGTGTATATATATGTTCTTCTTGATTTTTAATTATATGTTTTAATTTTATGCGACATGTGAACTTTCCGACAATCAATTATCAATGTTTGAACTTTGTTATGGCAGTGCAAAGCTTACACTAACGTATTCTTCCGCTGCATCCTTGTAAAATCTGTACAGCATTAATCTCGATGTATACATTTTGCAGCAAGTATGTCAGAAATATCACTGGGATCATCTCTCTAATCATACAATATAGTCGACTTTGTAATATTTTCTATCATTTAGTATAAGTGCCAAATTAGTGAGCGTCATCGGGTTCTTGGCAAGTTAGGAAATTCATAGAGGGGAAGCGATTTACATAGCAAATTTATATAGTTGATACAAATTAGAGTCTAGTAGAGCTCGAAGCTAGGAATAGCGTTTTTCCCTCTAAAAAGACACGCATCGCGTCTTTTCTCTCTGTGACAGTTTTTCCCTCATGACAGAGAACAGAGATGCGTTAAACGAGCAGCATCCCTCTTCCGAGTCCATTAACGAGTGGATTCTCGCACGGCCTTGACTTGATCGTGCACAGTCGCGACCAGATGTGACGTCACAGGATTCCACGAACGCGAGAAATTTGGTTGACGATAGAGCGCCTAACGAAGCCGTCCACGTTTGTTCCTTTTTTTTTTCTCACGTTTCGCGCGACGATGTTCACGTTATACTTAACATCGAAGCATTATTTTCGATCAGGAGCGACTGGTCGTACGAGACGATCCGTGCCACGGATGAAACTTGGCTTCCTCTTTCTCTCGTATTTCTGTCTGTATCTTAAGATTACAGCCGTTTGTCGGCGGCTTGTCTGACGAGATCTCCGACAATCACATATTTCCAGCCACGATCCCTCGACGCGCTGTCAATCGTTCGCGCGACTCGCGTTCACATCGTTTGATAATTTATGCGAGAAATCAAACCTCCGCATTGCAACTGCTCCAACTGATCCCCCTTCCTTCCCCCGCCACATTCCCTCATCGTATCAGCGCCTCCCCCTCACGGCGGTTTTGCCTACAGCTCTTCGAGCTAACTCCCGACTCGGCCTAACCTAACAATGACCAACAGCTGGCGATCACTTGGCACAATCGAGTCCGCGATTCTCTTGGACGATATCGCGAGGAGAACTTTTCAAGCACGCGATACATTTTATAACAATATTACTGTCCGTAAAATTTTGATAAATTATCAGGATGATTGAGAAGATACATCGTGGAAAAATTGATCGATGCGCAAGACACTTGGCTGCTCTTGTATGGTGCCCCCCACACACACATATATGCGCGCGCGCACCTTCATATACAATAAATGGTAAAAAATAACATGTATATACATGTATGTGCATATATATATATATATATATGAGCATATATATATATACATATACATATATACATAAATACATATACTCTTTTCAATTTTACAAGTGTTTGTTGGAGTATAACTCGGCAAATCCAATTTAAAAATTATATGCTAAGAAGAAACAAATTGCATTCTTCCACTGGATAACAAAATGGAATTATAATATGTTTTATGATAAATGAAGTTTATTGAGCAATTAGCATTGATTATTGAACATGATATAAATAAACAGCTCGCTGAGCTAATAACTAATACTGACTGTAAAAATAAAGATTATAAATATTAAGATTGTAAAAATGTAAAATTTCATATATAAATATGTATAAAGGTATAAAGTATTATTTTAATCGCTTTGATTTTTATGCTCTGGAATCTCTTGCGAATAATAAGTATTTACAATAGAGTTTAGCAAACAATTAGCATTGATTATTGAACTTGATATAAATAACAGCTTGCTGAGCTAATAACTAATATTGACTGTAAAAATAAAGATTATAAATACTAAGATTGTAAAAATGAAATATTTCATATATAAATATATATAAAGATATAAAATATTATTTTAATCACTTTGATTTTTCTTATGCACTGGAATCTCTTGCAATTAATAAGTATTTACAAAAATGTACTATCAGCTGATAGCATATTATAGTAAATTATATAGTAATATTATAGTAAATATAATAAATTATGTAAATAAAATATGGTAAAAAGAAAACTTGTATGACCACTGGCCTCTATTCTGTATTTATATACTATATCTTGTTCTATAAAGCAGGAAAACATATGTGTAAAATTATATGTATGCAAATAAGATAAGAATTTAAGATACCTTAAATATACGCGAGTATTTGTTTTTGAACATAATTCACACGTATCCACGTTGACGAGATTCTGATATATAAAATCTTATCAAAGATAAATTTTTTCTACAGATATTAATATCTTTGTATCTCTATAACCTGTTGAAATATATTTGTGGACAAAGAATATATCAGTTGTAGTTTCTTCAACTACGTATCGTCTGACTAGATAAAAAGATATTTTCCCTCGAACATTTTTGTCGATTTACACAAGAGAGGTGTAAGTTCGCACACGATAAAAGTTTTTCGTTAATATCAATTATGCGTGTGCGATTCCACGTACGTGAGAATAATAAAGAGAGATAAGAATTTCGATAGATTCTTTCATCGTGATCTCACACATCAAAAGAGAGATGGCGAACGGTAGGCTAACACCCGCTTACTGCTACGAGGTTAGAGGGTAAGGAAGAGTCAAGAGGATGAGATGCATGAAAATTCATTAGTACCGTAATGACTCCATCCTTCATAATGGACTTTCGGCTTCGTATGATCATGCCCACGACCTTCTTAGAGACCTTGGCAGGCATATTCACGCACTGCGCGCACAAACTCTTTCGCTTCTTCAATTTCATGAATTCTTAGAATCTCGTCGACACGGTAGGAGGCATTTTTCCGCGACACCGCAATTTATCGCTTATCACGCGAGGAATTAATTTCAGCTCCGAACCTTTCTCATGACGGCATCTACAAATCTACATACATAACAGCGACGCGAATAACGTTAGAAGAGCACAAACGAACGTATTGTCCGCGTGTCCGCGAACTAACACAGACTGTTGTGAATAATCATGAACTATCGCGAGGTGATCAAACCGCGCGCACTCACATTTTATATCGAATGGGCCGGTTTCCATGGACGCGTCAGCGCGTCTTATCCGCGCATCTGTCATTGGTCGTTGTCCCTTTTCGCGATTCACACATGACAATGGGTCTGTTCGTTTTAGCTGCACTAGTGCAATTAGTTAGAGTGAAAGAAAGTATGTTTGTCTCTTTCTAACTTATTGCACTAGTGCAGCAGTGCAGCTGAAACGAATAGACCCAATATATTGGAGCGACACCATCGTTAAGTTTTATTCATTTTCGATAATTAAGGAAGACTCGACTGTTATTCTAAATCTAAATGGCTGCTTAGGCTCCTGAAGAGAATTCGTCTATACGTCAGCTGATGTAAACGGCGGGTGATCCTCTAGGGAAGATAAAGCATGAAAATACAGTCCGAGCAAAGAACACGCGAGCAACACGTCCGATCACATCAAAGGATGGCAACGAACTCGGACTCGATTGACAGATGTTCAAACCGTAAACTACGGTCCATATTCTGAATCCTTTTATCGATAAAAATGCCTCTAAAAGTAGCTCTAAAGTGGCGATTCTGATATAAATCACTTTTAGAGGCACTTTTATCGATAAAAGAGGATTCAGAATATGGACCTATATCTGCAGTTGAAGCACGCAATTTTGCCGCGGGTTTGCAACGAATGAAATCTCAGATTATGTATCGAAGATTGATCAGTCGGGACAAGGAAATCTTGACTCCTTTTGTTCCGATTAATCAGAAATTTTAATCTTTAATCTTGAATCTTCAATGCGGAATCCGACATAGGCTTTACGGGATCTTCTTCCAGACAGGATTACATTCCTTATCGTATCTTCTTATCGTAAATAGAAATTTCGTCCATTTGAATAAATAAGGCTGTCCAGGCACGCCGTTCTTTCGTGATAGGCGTAGGCTCCTTCCACTTTTGACAAAAGGAAATAAAATAAAACAGACATTCCCACGTCTATACGATTGGCTGCTTGCCACTCCTACAATTAGAAAAAAAGATACGGGGAATCTTCCTTACATAAAAAAAAACACACACACATACATAGACATGCAATGTCGCGTGTCGATTGGCCAGCGAGTGAACAATGTTCGAGATTTGAAAAATTCTCCATTCGATAGCCAATTGTGCGTACGTGTCTGCGTCTTCTCCGACAAACTCTCGTCGCGTTATCTCCTTTGTCGCATTACTAATCTCGTGACTGACTCCTTTACGAGCAGCCTATACATACGTATCCTACGTCCATGGCTTCGTCCCAGTCCTACTTTAGTCATTCGTTATCCGTGGACAAGAATACATGTTACCTAGCACCACGTGCGCACGAGGCTTTACGGGATACGTCTTCGGTCAGCATTCGCCGAGGTATGTATGTACAAACATACGTATTACGTCGCGATTAACGTACATGTATTATAAATATATATATATATATATATATATGTACACGTCGCGACATATGTATGTGTGCATATATACACGCGTTGCGCATAGCACCGTGAGAGTGCGTAGCGTTCAGTGAAAAAAATGGTAGTTATTTGGGTGTAGTCGGAGCGAATTTTCTGCGAACACGAATGTGAGTACATACCGGTCGGCTGGAGGAGCCGAGCGCCGTTTTAATCGACGATACGCGCGATTAATATGACCGGGTCGGAGATAACGAGAGCGGACGAACGACCCTCGTTCTTCTCCCCCCTGGAGAGCCCGAAGTATGTAGGTACCCGTGCTCTGGTGGTTCGTGCATCCTCTCGTGGTCCCCGCGCGACACATGCACGATGCGTGTCGCGCGGATCACGCCGAGATAATTTATCAGTCAAAAATAACGGTCCGCCGCGTGACATTCTCGACGGGATGTCGCGCGTCCTCGCTCTCTCCGCGCGAGAATCGCGCTCGCGAAACGTGTCCCGACGAGCGATATTTTTGGGATAGATGTCACATCGCGTCTCTCTCTCGCTCCTGTTCTCCTTCCTCGCGATGCTCTGTGTGTGCGTGCGCGCGCGGATGTGTGCGTGCGTTTATTCGATTTGCAACGTTTCCGTGTGTGCGTGCGTGTGCATACGGACACACGCGAGATCTCCCGTCCCGACATGATACGACGAGTCGCATACGCGGCTTCTCGCTCGTGTCACAGCGGTACGCACCCTTTAAACCGACGTCGGTGAGACCGCGGGTAACGTGTGTATGCGTGCGAGATACTTGGTGTTTGTCGTAAATGTTGCATCGAGACCCGTCCGTATACGTATATCGTTACGTTTCTCACACGAGTGGCGTTAGCCCACGATGATGCTCGACAACATATTCCGCGGCTTTAACGGCATATGAGTGTCTTCGTATTCTTGTACGTTCACACACGTACGTGCTCTCTTCGCGATCGAGATATTTGTATCTTCGTCGATTAATGCGTCGGCAGTTTGAAAACAAATTCGATTAACGTCCCGTTGAGGATTCGTGCATCGATTGTATGTATTACTCTTGATTTTATTCCGACAGATTTTCACTCGCGATTCGTATTTCGATACATATATCGTAAGACAGAGAATTAAAATTGCTCCCATATAAGTTACACAGCACACACATGCACTCCTACGTAGTTTAATATGATGTATTTTATTGACGCATGCAAAGTATAGACGAATCTCTACAATTAAGGCAATGGAATTTGTTAACGCACACGATGTCAAATGGTATAGTTTATTGTTTCATTAAGAAATAACAATTAAGAAATATGTCAAAATTCTGTGCAAATTTATCTTAGATGATATTAATATTAGCTCAAGTTTTACACAGCAGATGTTTCTGATATTTTTAGGGAAATAATATTACGTCTGTTACACTTTCTAATTAATTTTATTTTAACATATTTTCCCTGATAATCCTCTTTCGCAAAAAAGAGTAATTAAAGTATAGTAAAAGATCAATTTCATGAAATATATATGCTAGGGAAAAATATTTTGAGCAAACATATTAATTTAGCTTGGAATTTCTTCATGCAATAATATACATTACATTAAATTGTGTTCTGATTGCAGATTCTTTTAATTCTTTGGGCACTAGAAATTTATTAACTGGTTTAGCAGTTGGTATGGCAAAATATACAGCCTAAACCCAAATTATCACGGATATGGATATTTTTAATCTAATAACAAAGACTACTCATTAAAAAGTAATTTTGGTCAGAAAAGTTTTAATTTCATCATCCGGAGAAGAGAATGATAATGTGACTTTTATTAACTTTACATCGGAGCAAATTGGATAAGAAGAAGCGCAACAAATAGGTGAAGTAATTTTGTGAAGTAAAGTTTTAAATAAAGTTGGTTATGTGCAATGCCGAGATGCTACAATGATAGCAAGACAGTGAGTTCAGTGAACAGCAATCATAAGCATAGTACAGACGATATTGTATTAACGCAATCGCATGCTTTCCCGATTGGAAGTCATTTGGAAATAGAAGAAGACCCACCTGTAGTTGAAAGATCTCACAGGCGACTTCGGTGTGATTTAAGTCCTGTTCCAACAAGCACAAATTCTAATTTCAACATAAAGCTTCTTGGTTTAAAGGTGAGACTTTAAGATTACATACTTATGATAACATTCTTATGATTACTAAGATTACATTCTTATGATAAATTTTTATATATTATATATAGAATATAATGTATTCTTTTATATATTTTATATATTTATATATTGTATATAATGTATTTTTTTATATCTTATATATAATGTATTCTTTTTTGCAATTTTATATTTTGCTAAATTATATATACTAATCTTAAATATATAATATATTATGCTATGATAAATCTCATTATACGTTTAAAGTAGATTTTTTATCATTCTAAATAATAGATTTTAAAAATTTGTAACATTAAAATATTAGAAATATAGTTTTAATATTTGTTTCAATTTTGTCTTTTTATTTTTCTCGTATTATTTTAGGGTGACAAGAATACTCGTCAGGATCATCAGGTGAGCACTGGATCTGGGGGGCACAGAGACAGAGATAGAGATATTAAAAAGAGAGCAGCTATAGGCAATACAGTGCGTGGATTTCTCTCATCTGGCCACAGCAGGCAGGACAGGTATAATGATGTCTGTATCAAAAATCATGCTTCTTACATTGTCATTTGTTATACTCTATTATTAAGTTATAAAGTATTCTTTATTATTATTTATTATTTTTTTTATGACAAATTTTGTTTCGATATCTTACAATATTTTGCTTTGTATATAAAATCCATTATTAAAATCCATTATATATTTATGTCATTTTGTTAATACAATAGATTCTCGATAATCTAGGAAATAATTGAAGTAAAAATTTCGATGTAAATGCAAAATTTAGATTGAATTTTCTCTCTTAGCAGCAATTTTATAAACTTTTAGCGATACATATATATATCAGATATATCAGGTTATTTCATATTCAAATTATATAAAAATTTCTAGGTTTCAATGTTGTGTTAATGAACTGTCGAACGCACTTTCCAAACGGAGTTTTCTCAATTCTTGAATTATGGACAGTCTTCTCTCAACTATAAATCTCGAAATTTTTTGACTAAGCCTAATCTTTCTCCTTTTGTTATTGAAGGTGAAAACTTATTTTCTAAAAAGTCTGAATAGTTATCAAGGTCAAACATTTAGAAAGATGAACCATAATATATCTCTCTTTATGCTTTAAAAATTTTTCAAACCATTAGTCTAATCTGCTACCATTAGTAATGAAGAGTATACCATAAAGCTTTTCATTTGCAGCCATTGTAAGTTATTTCCTACAAAACAAAATTATGTATTATTTTTATATTTAAATTATTTTTTAAAATTTAGTAGGAATATGATAAAATCTTAACGGAAAAAGAAAACAAGAAAATTTTTGTATTATATTTATTTATAGGAACTTGATATATTTAGAAAAAATTTACTCTTTGGAATATAATAGAAGAGCAAGTGAAAATATTGATATGACAAGCACAGATGTCTAATTATTATTAAAATTAAAGGAGATAATTATATATATAATTCTGTCTCTGCAATATATTAATTCTAATATTCAGATAATCGAGGATGTATTTAAACTAATTATACTTACACAATAAGCCTGTTATGCACTAATATCACTTAGTATAAAAATAAAAGCTTTTGCAAATAACACCAGTTACACAATATAAAAATATATATATATATATATATATATATATATATATTTATATGTAGAAATAGAAATATATAGTATATATGTATACATTTAGCAGACTTTGAGAAATAACAGATTAATAATAAAATATTCTTCAATATCTTACAATTATGTTCTTATAAGTTTTCAATACATATTTCAGATGTAAAAGTTATAGATTGTTAAATTACTTGGGATGCTGTTCTTTTAAGAATTTTATGTATGATTTATCTTTATGCTCTTTTTTTTATATGCAAATATCTTGCTTTTTATTAAATTTTATAAAAATAATATTTCATTTGTTAAAGAAATTACTTTTATTGATTGTTAATGTAATAAAAATTTAAAAAAGTTTAACATTTTTTGAATTAAATATATGTTGTGTATTTTCACTTAAGATTCTTATTTAAGTAAAAAGTGAAAATCAAGAATTCACTTAATATTATATGACTTGTGAGAAATGATATAATTTTGTATTACATTAATGTAAAATATGATTTATGTATAAAATTTCAGGTATGAGACAAATAGGCAACGTTCTTCAGGCGGAACTGGCGGTGGTCTGTCTAGTTTATGTCCTAAGTTGGTGGCCAGTGGAAGTAGTAGCAGTCAAAGTAGTGGCATCAGTTTGGCAGTGGGCCACTTAGCCTCTCAGGAAACTGGAGGCACTTGCACAGTTGTTACAACTCAAAAGATTCACAGTCACGCACATAATCATAGACGCCAAAGAAAATTATCTATTGTCACACAGGCAGGTCCTAGTGCCAACATTACTGGTGATAGGAAGGTTAGTTGGATTATTTATTAATTAATTGAACAAACATGTATAAACATGTACATATACAAAATGTAAACATTTCTAGTAAATATGTCACATACTTCAAATTATCATATATGATTTAGAATATTATTATGATGTAATGTCACTTTGTTTTACATAGGTGTTAAGTCGTTCTGCTAGCATCTCCAAAAAGCAAGTACGAACACAGAGACATGAACAGAATGCTGATTCTTTATCTTTAACTAGTAATGGTCTTGCGACTAATTCACCATCTTCCAAAAAGAAAATATTATCTGTTCTGCATATATCCGATAGGTCATCTGTCCAAAGTGTCAATTCATTATCCTTAGATCATGAAAATGATCGTAGTTTTAGTGATGCTGAAGAAGCAATTGCAGCAGTTGAAAATGCGGCACAAGGTAAAAAAAAATTTGATCTCACTTTTTTCAAGTTTAAAATTTATATAATATAAAATCACATGTGAGGCATAAGAGAAGAATGTTACAATCTTATTGAATTATATATACATGATATAGTTCTATACCTTCTACACCAATTAATAAAGTAAAGGTGGCAAATATCAGTAAAAATGATGAGGCAAACGTGAAACGTAATATTTTTACAGAATGTAACAACCTATCAGAAAATGCTACAGATGTACAACACATGACTTCAAATGAATTTGAACAAGAAGCTGCTATATCAATAAAATCACCTACGGTATCTAAGTCACATGGAATTAATCAGGAAAGTATTACAAATAATAAGCAAAAATTGTCAAACTCCTCAAGTAATGCTAAATTGAATAGTATTAGCGATCAAAAAGTTTTGAAGCATAAAAATACAAATTCTAGAGAGAAAATGAAGCATCATACTAGTAAAAATATTGAAGCGGTTAATGTAGAAAAGGAATTAGATGATACGATATCAATAGACACAGAGAATTCCACAGATAGTAATAGCAAGGATAAACGAACGAAAAGTGGAAAATCTATGGAATATACAGATAGTGGGGATGATGGTACAGATAAAGAAATCACGGACACTTCAAAGACTGTAAGCGGCGATAAAAAAGAGATGGAAGATAATGCTGGTTTAAATGAGGAAATAATTAAGAGTTCGAGATTTGTAACGTCAAAGGTGGAAGAGATAACGGAAGCGGATAACAAGACGGCGGATGTAGAAAAGGTAGAAGAGGAGGAACGAGTAACGATATACGATGATGACGGTACGAGTATCAGCGATATAGTAGCGGCACAGGCGCTTCACGAATCGTTAAGTAAATTGGGCAAAGTTCCACCGTTAGACACTGAGATGGAAGAGACGCAGAATACAGATATGCGAGACGAAAAAGCAAATATGAGACAGCATCCTGAGAAGGATATAGTTACGCAGGAGGAAACGGTGGAAGGCTTTATCGGCCCGTTGCTCGATGAAAATTTTAAAGCGGATGAGAAATTATCGCAAAAGACAATGGCGATGGAGGAGGTGCAAAATTTATTAATGAAAGTTAAAGTGCAAACCGTGGAGGACGACGACGACGAAGAGAAGGCTGTAGGTATTTCGCCCGATGGAAGATTCTTGAAATTTGAAGAGGAAATCGGTCGCGGTAGTTTTAAGACTGTTTATCGTGGTTTAGATACTCAAACGGGCGTAGCTGTAGCTTGGTGCGAATTGCAGGTTAGTGCAGTAACATATATTATAGAGATAAATAATTGTGTATATAACATTATTTTACTTCACTTGCTATTAATTTAAAAAATTAAATATATATGTTATTTATTATAAAAAATTTCATATATAATTTAAGAGAAAATATTTTTTATTTTTTATAGGAGAAAAAATTGAATAAAACGGAGAGATTGCGATTTAGAGAAGAAGCTGAAATGTTAAAGGGACTGCAACATCCAAATATTGTAAGATTTTATGACTATTGGGAAGTTACACTTACTCGTAGAAAATACATTGTACTAGTCACTGAACTTATGACATCGGGAACATTGAAAACGTAAGTTTTTTAATTTATAAAATATTATTGCAAGATACACTTTATTGATTTTTTGTATGTTATATATAATAGGTATCTGAGGAGATTTAAAAAAATCAATCCCAAAGTGGTAAAATCTTGGTGTCGGCAAATTTTAAAGGGTTTGAGCTTTCTTCATTCTAGATCACCACCCATTATTCATCGTGATTTAAAATGCGATAATATTTTCATCACTGGTACAACGGGAAGTGTAAAAATTGGTGATTTAGGTCTTGCGACATTGAAAAATCGCAGTTTCGCAAAAAGTGTTATTGGAACGCCAGAATTTATGGCACCTGAAATGTATGAGGAACATTACGACGAGTCGGTCGACGTTTACGCTTTTGGAATGTGTATGCTCGAAATGGCTACTAGCGAATATCCATATTCTGAGTGTACAGGACCAGCACAAATATACAAACGTGTAGTATCGGTAAGAATATGCCTGTATATGTTTGTTATTTTTTAGTGTGTAATTGGTCGTGGTAGTTTCAAGACAATTTCAGTAATTTGTAATAATTATATATTTGAGTGTGTGTGTGTGTTAGAAAGATTAATTTTTTTTTAAATTCTAAATATAATAATCTAGTGCACAACAAAAGATTAATGTAACATATTTTTCTTAAAATAACAATTTTTATTTATGTATATTATACAATAAACAATTTTTACTTTTGTTATATAGGGTGTGAAACCACAGAGCTATGATAAAGTTGAAAACCCAGAAGTACGCGATATTATAGAAATGTGTATACGTTTGAAGAAGGAGGAACGACCTCTCGTTAAGGATTTACTCAATCATGAATTCTTTGCTGATGATGTCGGCTTGAAATTGGAAATGGTGTCGCGAGATTCAGCAGTCGCGGATACTGAATTGTCGCGTGTCGAATTTAGATTGCGCGTGTTAGATCCTAAGAAACGCAGTAACAAGCACAAAGAGAACGAAGCGATACAATTTGACTTTGATATACAGGCTGATAACGCGGAGGAGGTAGCGTTAGAAATGGCAAAATCCAGTCTCATATTGGAAGAAGATGCTAAAGCGGTAGCCAAGATGTTAAAATCACAGATTACAACCCTGTTGAGAGAAAGGGAGGAACGTAAAGCCAAAGAGGAAAAAGAACGCTTGGATAGAGAAACAGCTACAGATATTGCAACTAATGCTGCTGCAAACTCTGAAAATTTGTTACAGCAACAATTGTTGCTCCAACAAATTCAATTGCAACAACAACAACAGCAGCAACAAATTCAATCTAATATCGGTATGCAAATGCAAAATCAAGTTCCGATGCAATTACAACAAACTCAAATGCCTATTCAACAGCAGCAATTACAATCGACTGCTCAACAAGCTCAACAGCATAATTTACAACCGCAACAGGTTCAATTGGTCCAACAGCAACCGATAATACAACAGCAAACGTCGGTTGTGCAACCTCAACAAGCACAGCAAATACAATATCAGCAGCAAATACAACAGCAATATCAACAACAGCAACCATATGCTCAGCATGTTCCACAAAATTTGAACACAAATTCTTCGCAATGCTCGACTCCGCAAAACGTTCAGGGCCAACCTCAATTTCCTCAAGTATCGCAGCAAATGCAGCAGCAACAACAACAGCAGCATGTGCATCAACAACAGCAATACATACAATTGAATCAAATGAATGTTCCACAACAAATCCCTCATCAGATGCAGCAAATGCAACCCCAAATACAAATGATATCGCAACAACAACACATGCATCAGCAACTTCAATCGCAACAACAGCAATACGCGACGCAACCGCAAATCCAGCACGTTCAACAACTGCATCAACATTCCGTTGGTTCACAGACCGTTCAGAATCAACAATATTATCAACAGAACGCTACTGGTACTGCTTCGGGATACGTATCAGCAGGTTCTTTGTATCAGCAGGCCATGCCACAACAAATATTTCACACATATACGACATCTAATCCTTCCGGTCACGTCGAGATTTTATCGTCCACTCAAACAGCGACGCAAATTTATTCTCACGCCAGTCTACCCGGGAATGCGGTGCCCGCAGCAACGTCTCAATCGCAATATATGCAATCGGCGGGACAGGTCCAGGCGTCCATGCCGTCAGGAATGAATGTCAATAGTTCATCTGCTGTGACTCACATGCCAAACGTATCGACTTCAACGATCCCTAATATGCAGAATACGCCTCCTTTGCTTGGCAATGCCGGTCACCAGCCTCAGTCTCAACAAAATATCCTTGTACAAATGCAATATTCGCAAAGTACGAACGTCATGCCCAACTCTATTTCAATGACGCCCAACGTCGCGAATGTTTCGTCACAATCATCTACGAATCTGCAGCAGCATCAACTCTTTCTTCCAAATACGGATCAATGTCCCAATGCGACCGATAGATCTTCATTGGTAAAACAAGATACAATGGATTCAATACAATCTTTGCCATCAGATATACCAATCAATCCACAAGATCAAGTAGTCCCAACATCTGCTTCAGTTGCAACAAGTGTTGTACACCAGTTTGTAGCACAGCAGTCATTGAACGATGGGTAAGATCAAAAGAAATAACGAGCAATGAAAAATAATACGTAAATTTATTATTTTATTTCTTAGAGTCACGCCGGAAAACTCTGAAAGTGTTACCACTTCTGAGAGGAACCGAGTGAAACGTTCAGGAACTAAGCGTAAAAAGCCAGGTATTAAACTAACAGTCTTGTCTGTCAGCAATAGTGAAGGACAATCAATGACTGTCGAATGTCAGTTAGATACGAGTAAACAGAAAACCGTTACTTTTAAATTTGATCGAGATGATATGGTACCTACGGATATTGCTAATAATTTGGTAAGAACATATATTTTATGGCATTTTATTTATTTTGTTTATATTATTTTGTATATTTTATTTCATATATATATATATATATGTATATATATCTCTTAATTCTTTCTAAGGTTGCGGAAAATCTTTTGCCACAGTCGCAATGTGAGACATTTGTAGAATTGATTGAAGATATTGTCAAACAATTACGTTTGGATCCTACACGTGCTCTACCTT